TATAAAGAGTGTTTCACTGTAAATATTACTATTTGACTATTAATAAAAATACGTTGAGGCCAGGTTGCTCCACAGACAGACAAGCAGATGTGAGATGCGACATCAGTTCAAAACTGCCCTATGCCTGCTTCAAATCACAGAAATGTGGGTGGCCCCAAGGCTGATAATGTTTTCTAATGTTCCTCCTGATTTCCATGCTTTTATCACTGAGCGAAAAATTCTTTGCCAATTCTGACTTGGCTGCTGCACTTTAGTGCTTGTCGGATATAAGCATCAGAACCATGAAGGAGAGCATCATAGTCATCTTCTTCCAGGGTCAGTTTATTGGCTCTGGCTGGAATTTGTTCACAAATAGAACATCTGCCACTTTGAAGCAGACCTGGCTTCCGTGCAAATGGGGAAGTGGAGTCTCCAGGGAATGTAATCAATTCACTTGTAAAATGAGAATAATCAGTGAATTCAACAATTCCATGTAAGGGAACAGCAGAAGCAATTGGCACTATACATAGCACTCACCTCGTGGTGGTCGTAACTCGGTGATATTCTCAGTGGCTTCATCATCTGAGTCTCCAGTTGCCACTACCTTATATCTATTGCTGCTCTGTTTACTCAGCATGTGGGGTACTTGCAGCGCAGCCTCCCTCTCAGCAGCTAGGTCCAGATCTTGCTGAGCTAGGTGGGCTCTCAACTGCCTAATTTCAAACTATGGGAAAAACAACATAAAATGATGTGACACAAGTAAACCCTACCTGGAAATCATTATTCCCCAGAAAAGTAGAGTTTAGATTAGCACCCAACCTGTTGTTTGGTTGCTTGGATGTTGATGGTCTTCTAAGAAAGGTGGGGGGAAATTATATTAATTCGGTTTGGAGATACACTTTGGGGCAGTTTCTTAAGAGAAGAAATTGTCTAATAAGTGTGACCTCCAATACAGGTTTCACTGTATAATCATTTCAACCATCATTCAGGGTGATTCCTGTTATTGACACACAATTCTAATATCTGGACTTTACACTGATGAATTCCATGGAGGAGATTCTCCCCTCTACACCCAACACCTCCTCCCTCAAATAACTGAACCACAGCAGTTCTGCTGCAGGCAAGGCCCTCTAGAACTGCAGGGAAGGGGGCAGGATTTGACCCATTATTGCTATTATTTTTGAATACGTTACATCCTATGCTGGGCGGCACTGTATACAATAAAAGTGACAATGACCGAAAGGCAGAGAGCTAGGGAGTAGCAATCTCAATGACAGATCCAGTATATTTCCCTGTGTTTGACAGACACATGCCTCCTGTGATGCAAGAAAGAAATCTCCCTCCTGGCAGGGACAGGAAGGGTCCTCTGAATCCTCATTTGGGGGCTGAGGATTTCTTCACTCCTTCTTCTGCATTACAACCCCTACACCTAAGCCACCACAATTCTGAGGAAGGAATGCTTTGGGTTGCAACTCTTTCAAAACATGGAGACGTATGGTGGTGACCAATATAATTCTAATTACACACAGTGCGAGGGAAAAGGAAATTAGTGAAGTGATAGGTTAATGCATTTCACATTTCCAGCATTGTGCCTCTTAACTAAAAGATCTGAAAAGACTTTGCATGGCCGAAAGGATAGTCTTACAGTGGGCACACTGCAATGCACCTGTCACTACACTTTTATAACTGAAGGGAAATTAGTAACTTAGCTCTTAAAAACTTGCGTGTAATGGCACGTTAGCTAATTGAATTTGGTTCTGGCTTTCCTCTCCGAGATGCTGACTCAAATCCATCTTGCTGTCAGATTATACATGTGGTAGTCCTAGTTCATTCCATGTAAGGCAGGACTCAGTTCATTCTATAGTGTACATTCCACTGAGTCCTCTGTTGAAAAGCCATGATTCAGCATGATTGTCAGGCTATCAAAGCAATGGTCTCTATTAATTTAGTATGAACACTGGATTAGTGGTCAGCTATAGAGAGAAGTGGCTCTTCCAGGTTGAGATTCATGTATTACTGGAGTGGGAAATGGACAACAGCTTCCATATACTAAAAAAAGATACCAGATTGGCAGCCCTGGAGACTGAAGTCTTCTACTCACAGTATGGGGAGGGGCACTTGGCCTGTAAGACACACGTGTAAGGAGTGAGAGTGTAATTTAGTCTCTATCCCTTGTCAGTCCTTGAGCTCTCCACTGAAACTTCCAACAAGCATATTGCCAGTAGTGTTTTTGTGGCTACCTATTAACTTAAGGCCATGTCTACACTAGCACTTATGTCAGCAAAACTTTTGTCACTCAGGGGTGTGAAAAAACACACCCTTGAGTGACATTAGTTTTGCTGGCACAAGCGCTTGTGTGCACAGTGCTATGCTGGCGGGAGATATTTTCCCACCAACATAGCTATCGCTGCTCATTGAGCTGGTTTTATGATGTCGATGGGAGAGCTCTCGCCCGTTGGCATACAGCAGCCGTACGAGCAATATTACAGTGGCACAGCTGCTCCGGTACAGCTGTGCCACTGTAAGCTGGTAAGTGTAGACATGGCCGAAAAAAGAACAGGACAGGGACCACCAACTCCTTTCACAATAGCTTCCTACTTCAAAAGCCAGATGGTGATAATGACTCTTCATAAATGCCAGTTTGGGCCAGATACGAACCAACAATTTATAGATAGATTTATAGAAAGATTCTTAGATACTACAATGAGCAGGTGGATAACAGAGAATTTCAACTTTCAATACTGAATCTTTAGAAGAACATGAACTAAAATAATGAAATAAAATCTCGCAAAATTTCATCTTTAAAAAAACACACAAATCATAGGCAAGAAACAGATTATGGGGAACATTTACAATGGCATTGCTGTTCTTTTTCTTTTAATCTTGTTCATGATTGACTGGAAAACAAAAGCCAACTTTAATTTGAGCTCTTTCAGAAAGCAAACAGATTAAACTATTTACAATAAGTAAACATGGGGAAACTGAGGCACAGAAACTGACCCAAGGTCACACAACAAATCTGTGGCAGAAATGTAAACAGAAACCAGATCTCCAGACTCCCACTTCTGTGCTCTAATCACTAGACAATTCCACTTCCTCAAAGCAAATCTTTATAACCTAAATTGGAAAAATTCATATCTTAGCTGAAGATAAATATTCTGACTGGTGAGTGAAACTGGAGTCACAAAGATAGTGAAGAACAGTAATTCAGGTGAACAGTGCAATATTGTCGATAAAGTAAAATAACAGAAGTGGCTTTACTGCCATCTTATGGCCAAAGGACAAAACCACACACCACATTGCCAGCCCTGCTAAAGTGTGCACCTATGTATTTCTGCAAAGCATCTAGTTTTATCTGCCTCAGAAATCTGTACTTGATGTCTCAGGTAGTGTGGAAAGTTTCCCTCCCCTGTTTTTGAGGCATGAGAAGCATACACAAGCCTTATACACTTCCCCAACAATATGTGAATCCCTTTTTATTGGTCTTTGCAAATATGATCTGGTTGTTTGGCCTGTTTTCACTCTTACCTCTCTGCTGGTTCAGCTGGGCTAAAGACAAACATGGAGGATCAGAGTGGCTGTTAAAGGAATGCACTTAGAGGACCAGATGCTTAGCTAGTGTAAATCAGCATAGTTCTATTTACTTCAATGGAATGCATGTGTGTTGAGCAACAGGACACAGAAATGTAGAAGTTAATAGCAGAAATACTGATGAATCTCACACTTACTGAAACCCATCCAGCTATAAAGAGTTGAGGTAGGCTCACCCTTCCCTCCCCCTCGCATTTGGAACTGTCAGCATCTAACTTCCCATTCATCACTGCCATGAAACTTGTGCAGTCATTTACATCAGTGGAAAGTGGGCATAAAATGCTACCATTTGTCTGCTACAGCTTTTCTACCACCAGGGCAGAAGAGTGAGTGTGTTGTATTAATGATCTTTATGACACTCCCACTTTGTCCATTATTTATGTAAGGTAATCTATACAGTTTGGCCAACTGAGATGCAAACCCTTAAACTGATTCCTGACAACAGTAAATAAGATACATGAAATTCTGTTTAAAATGTTTACAAAACAAAAAAAATCTATTAATTTAAGTTAGCACGTTTGAAAAGAAGGGAGGGGGGAAAATCACCATTTAGTGATATTATAAACTAATACTGCTATGAAAAACAAATGGATATTTATTAAAATATTTAGGGAAAAATAAAGGATGAGACATGACATCTTCTAATCATTTTAGCTCACAAATGGGATCTACCCAAACGATCATTTTAAAATTAGTTACATCCAATTATTCATCTAGAGAGATTACATAAGTATAAAACACAACAAAAAATTAAGTTAAGAGAAGACATTTAAGATGCTGGAATACTGCTATAGGATTTATTAAAATAGGTTTATCTAGTATAAACAAGCCAATAAAAATAAAGGTTATGACTAGTAGTGAGATGGTTCCTATCTATCTTCCTTATTTTATCTTAATTTTGAGTGACTGACTATTAAAGGGGTTTCTCCCTTCCTTTGTTTTCAAAAAAAGTTCTCAAACTATCAGGCATGATGGCGGGTGATGACCATCTTCCAGGACACTCGAAAAATTTCCATCAGATTTGTAAGTAATTATCTTTTTTGCTTCTCCCCTCTAAACCTTTGCCTTGATGGGATAAGTATTCTAGTATCACAATTTCCCATACTTTTTGATA